TAGCATTGGTGAGCTGTGTATCAATACTAGCCAGTCGTTGGGATTGAGAGTCCGAAGTCATCATACAAGCATAAGAAGAAGATGTAGCAACATAATTGGCCGCATTAGTCGTATACGAGTCAATTTGCCTCTTAAAGTATCAAGTCGAATGATCTCCAGGGAGTTTTTCGAGTCCCTCATAAAGTGTTTGAAGCTTAGGTGCTCAAGATGACATTTTGTCGGTAGGAGTATCATGTATGATACCCTTTATGAAATTAATAAAGAGTAAAGCAGCACGGCGATAAATATCAAGAACGATCTCTTCGGCATTGAAAATGGACATTTCGGAAGGGGTAACATGATACAAGGGTGGACCCTGTTCTCTTATACGTAAGTCAGGGATAGCCATACAATCTATATCAACATTTTGAACCGGCTCCATCAGCAACCCCCAAAACATCCGAATGTTGAATAGTTCTGCTTCTTTGTAGTGAAATCTCTGTACCTTTTCCTATAGCAGTTGCTAAAGCTAAGGCAGACGGTCCATAAATAGATTCTTCACTACATGTTGGGTTAGTAACAAAGACGATATCTTCCATGAGAAATCCCTCGTTACCTTTTGTCTAGTCAAAAAAAAAAAAATATATATATATATATATATATATATATATATAATAAAATAAAATAAGAGTGAAGGTAATTTGTGAAAATAAATAAATAAATAAATGAATAAAGATACCTGTATAGGTTATGAACTGCTAGGTACTCCATAAAAAAATTGATCAAGAGAAGTGGCAACACATTCCTGTACTGGATCAAGTCTCACCTTATCAGTGACGTGCTTCTAGTTACGATCCTCATCGTAAGCTCTCACATCCTCATCTGAATCCATTACTAACTAGCGATGGCTATTAGACATCTTCTGCTATTTGGGGATGGCTATTAGACCCCCCAACAACACCACAATTATTATGAGATTTGGGGGATGACCCTGGCACTGGCTTAGATGGGAGGTTTGACTTCAGCCCCTTATTTAAAACCTTCCTGATTTTAGTTGGTTTCTCTGGTGGGGAAATCGTGCGTTTAAGTTGCTTTGAGGTAGTTTTTTCCTGTGTAAATGGATCAACATAGACTTTAGCCCACCATTCAGCACATCCTTTTGTGATCCCGAATTTCTAAAGATTGGAGCTTGAATGAAGCAATACCTTACACCCAGTATGGAAACAGGTGGACAATCTCCACAGTTTCATAACCTCTTCTAATTTACCATTATGAATGTCCCTCTTCAACCTCCCTGTGACATCTTGAGGAAAATGAAATTGTCTGCTAAACCTATGCGGACTATAAGGCTCAATGATGAAATGGTCACCTTGGCACAATGTCAAATAACTAGACCAAAGAGAGGCAAAATATTCAAAGATTGAGAAATTTTGCTAGCCCTCATCCATAAATAGTCGCTCTGGCTTGAATGTTTTAGACAAATGAGATAATTTGACACCTTCATAAAATCTGAACAAATTTTGGGCTTCTGATTCATTGAAGTGCTTCGCTGACCCTTCCTCTTCGAACTGTATCATTTGAGGAACATATGTGATGACCCTGGTTTTTAGGCCAGCGTGTCCTGTGATGAACCGAAGATTGACCCGATAACGGATCTGATATACAGAAGCGAAAATAGAAAACAAGACTCTAAGAAGTCAAAATGACCTTCCATGAGGTCATGGAACTCAATGAGAACTGATGCGGAAGCAAAAGACCAAAAATATGACAAATAAGCCCCCAGGGGTAAAATAGTCATTTTTGAAAACTGTGGACCTGGGTGCCACCGAGCACACCACTGGAAGGACAATGAAAAAAATAATCAAGATGGACTCAAGAATCACTTGATTCGGAGTCCGGATGAAGAAAATATGAAACTCCAAATTTCATAAAAATCACATTTTTGGGTTTGAAATCAATGCAATAAGGGTACTTCGCAAGGGGTAAAATGGTCTTTTCTAACAAAATTGAATATAACTGAGCATACCGTTAGATAGACCAGGAAAAATTAAAGAATTTAAACTCAAGAATCACTTGATTCGGAGTCCGGACGAAGAAGATATGAAACGTCAAAGTTTCATAAAAATCAACTTTTGGGTTTAAAATCAGTGCGGCAAGGGTACTTTACAAGGGGTAAAATGGTCTTTTAAGATATAATTTGATGCAATTGTGCATACTGTTATATAGACCAGCAAAAACTAATAAACTTAGACTTAAAAATCACTTGATTTGGAGTTGGGACGAAGAAGATATGAAGCCTCAAAGTTTAAAAAAAAAACAACTTTCTGGGTTAAAATCTGGGCAGGACCTGCACAGATTTTTGGACTTCAAATGTGGTTTTGAGAGCTTAAACCACATTTTTTGGCAAAAATTTTTGAACAAACCCCACCCCCCCCCCCCCCAACAAAATCATGTTTTCTACATGACCATGTTAAGAGAAGATTTTATTTTACAAGTGAAATACCCGAAATGCCCCTTAGATCAGCACTTTTTTTCGGGAAAACCTGGAACGACCAGATTTTCCAGATCTGCGAGTTGTTTTCGGCATCAAGATGATTTTTTTTTGTAAAAAAATGAAGAATAAACCCCCCCCCCCCTAAAATCACGTTTTCTACCCGAATCGCGAACGAAAATGAAAAATAAAAACTATATGATACCCAAAATGCCCCTAGATCAGAAAAGGGTAAGAGGATTAAAAAGCTGCTATATGCATAACAGAAAACTGAACTTTGCATGGGATTTCCAGCACCAAGGCGACATTTTTTGGACAAACACGAAGCAGGAACCCCCCCAAAATCATGTTTTCTAGCTGACCATGTCAAGAACGGAATTTATTTCCTGAAGAAAAACCTAAAGTGCCCTAAAATTAGATTATGTAACAAAACTTCAAAAGGAGTCCATAGGAAGCTCAAAACACAAACCATAAGGTTTTGCCCGGAAACGACCATGCACGCAAACGTAACTTACCTATTTGGACGTGCTACAATGGTCCACGACTTAAAAATACCACCGATACAAAATCCGACCCCCCAACGGACAAAAAGGCAAAAATGGAACTTGGAATGAAAACTTGGAATCCAAAAATACAAAACGGGGTTAAATGACCATTTGGCCCTTGACCACACTTCATATAAGATTAATAAGACCCTATGAAAGAATGAGAATGGAATTCCCACACCCGATGCAACCATGGTGAAGCAATGATTTGCGATTTTTCAAGATTTTCACAATATTTCATGAAGTTAAAAAGTACATAGAATACAATACACAAGTCATTGGCCTCTGGCCTCATCTCATACATATCAAATACATTCAAAGGAGTGTACTTAAGTACACATTACATACATGAAATCAAATATACATAATTTGACATATAAGTCTACAAAATGACATTTCATGCTAACATTCGCATGAAATGGAAACTTGAAAGCAACACGACATCCAAGGAATGCTAGGCGTCACGAACCAAGTCTTCATACCTGAAATATGCCCCAGTAACATAGGGGTGAGTAACATAAAGCTACTCGTAAGAGATGAGCATGCATCGACCTAGCATTTTACAAATTTATCACCTTAAGGTGAAACATGTTAAAGGGGCTCATGCCACCTAACGTCTATGTCCAAGTGAGACTCGGGGAGCATCCTAAGCTACCTTAGAGTCTAAGCAACAAGAATCATGATATACATAAGTGTATGAAACGAATTATGGTTGGGATAATCCAAAGAACACGACAAGAAGAATCATTACAAGAAATGTGGGCTTTTACGACATAGTATTTACGGAGCTTCTTTATTTTGCCTCGTGATTACCACCATTTACGGAGTTTTTAAAAGAATCCTCGTAATTGTTACATGTTTTCACGAGGATTTAGTAGAATCTTCGTAGAAAATGTTTTTTACGGTGTATTAAAGAGGTCGTGAATATTTAGATATATTTACGGCATATTTGTACACTTTTCACGGGATAAATGTTGCTTATTGATTAATATTACATTTAAGGCCTTTTTTTTTCCCCGTAAATAAGCAATAGTACTTAAATTACTAAAATTACTTTAAAAATATATATAGAAAAGAATAAAAAAAAAATGAACTTAAGTTCTTTTATGGTGTATTATAGACGCCGTGAATAGATTTCACATCTAAGGCGTATTTTTTGCCCCGTAGATAAGCAATACTATTTTTAGCCTTCCCCTCGCTGGAAACTTAACGCCAGATAAATTATTTTTTTAATTAAAAAATATTATTAAACATAATTAAGTTCTTTTAGCGTGTAATAAAGACGCCGTGAATAAATTTCACATTTAAGGCGTCTTTTTTGCCCCGTAGATAGGCAATATTTTCCGAATAAAATTTTCCCCACTAGCGGGAAACTTAGCGCCAAATAGCAAAATAAATGAATTTTTTTTAATAGAAAACATAATTAAAAATTTGACAAAAACGACGTAGTTTTTGTCAATACCTTATATATCATGTCTAAGCCCTTTCTCTCTCTACTCCCCTTTTCTCACGTTAAAGCTAGCCCTAACTTTCCCTCTGTGCTCTCTCTCTTTAGACGAAAAAGATGCAGATGATGATGTCTCTCTGGTTCGCCTCTCTATTGGAGCAGTGAAAGTCCAATCGAAGTAAAGAAAGGCAAATCGAAGACCCCTAGAAAACCCAAGGAAAGAGTTCTTAAATAGAGTTAGTCTGTCTCTCTCTCACTCACTCTCTCTCTCTCTGTATATAAATAATTATTTACATCTACAATTTTGCATTATTTATTTATTTCTATATATTGATATTGCTTAAGATTTCTATGTGTTAATTTGGGTTTGGGTGATTCATTTGTTTTTCTTCTTAAATAGAGTTAGTCTATCTCTCTCTCTCACTCACTCTCTCTCTCTCTCTGTATATAAATAATTATTTACATCTACAATTTTGCATTATTTATTTATTTGTATATATCGGTATTGCTTGAGATTTCTGTGTGTTAATTTGGGTTCGGGTGATTTATTTGTTTTTCTGCAGAATCACCAGTTAAGTTTTTTCCTGAGAGCAAGAACATTGCTGGGTTTGATAATGTGAGTTTCTTAGCCTCCTGTATAATTTCTGTGGGTTAGAATTTTAATGGTGTTGAGGCTATTTTTTGGGATTTTTTGTGAAGGGTATTTTTTTTTTTTTTTTTCAAGTACTTGTATTAGTTTGTAGCTGAATAATTTTGATATGTACTATTTGTTGCATTAAATATATAATCTCTCATTTGTGATGATGGAAGCATGGTGTTAGTATTAGGAGAGTAATTGGCGAATTTATATCTAGTCCAGTGCCTCGATTGAATTAATTTGATTGGAAAAACTTTTTTTTTTTTTTTTGGGGGGGGGGGGGGGGGGGGGGGGGGGGAGAGTTAGAAATTTTCCGTTTATTTCTTTATGTGGGTGAAAACTAGATAAATATTCGCCTACTAAGAGAATTTGCAAATTTAAATTGTCTGAAGTTGGTTGTTAAATTCAGTGAATTAGGGGCAAAGTCAAATTCCGGATATCTGTATAGAAATCTGTTAGTACAAGTTCGTAGTTGTTCTTTTTCCTTCAATCGTCAATTTCTGCATTTTATTTTGCTTTCAGCCAGGGAAATCCCTCTACAATACTGTGAGAGAACTTGTTGAAAATGCTCTTGATTCAGTAGAATCCATATCTGAGCTTCCTGTAGTAGAAGTAACAATATAAGTGCTTTTCATTTGTGCATATTCCTACTATGGATATCAGCATGACTTAGGTAGGCAAGCTTTAACATATGAGATAATCAAGCATGTCATTTAATACTTTAGTTTTACTATTTTCAATTCTTTGATGCTTTAGTGAAGAAATTGGAAGAAGCAAGTTTAATTCTATGATTGGTCTTGTTAATCGTGAACACGTTGATGAGGAACTTTATGATGATTTCGAGACAGCCAAGGCTTGTGAGGTGTGGGCCTTATACCTAAAATAGCCGAACAAGTATACCCACAGCTTCCCATTTTTAGGTGTTATCAAATCCACAGTTTTTGTCTTAAAAGTTTTAAAAAATGTGGCAAATTAGTTTTAAAAAATCATCAACAAATGGCTTGAATAGATAAAAATATTTTTATCAGTTGGTCACAGGATTTGTTAGGTTGAAGAAAAAATTTACTGCCATGATAGATTTTGTGATGTATCCATTTATTGTACTCTGTACGCTGCTATACCCCAACCTCGACTATACAATATATAGTATTGTGGCATTTAATTCGATGGATAGGATTTTCATTGATTGAGCTTTTATTGGTCCACATGATTGATATTAATTACATTTCACCATGGCTAAAGGAAGCAGAAGGGGTGTGTACATATTTAATCACTTATGGATACTTGTATAAACTTTTACTTATTTCTGGAAGCTGTGTGAATATATCTATCATGTATAGCGCACATATTTCTCATAAACCATGGATAATTTTGATCGACAAGAGTGATTCTGCAAAGGACATTCATGGTAATCATCCAATTTATTAGCACCCTTTAGACTAGAGCCAATCACACCTTTACATAATTCCTTGAATTTTAACATTGATTTAATAATTCACATTTGAAAATTGTGGCTAGTAGCAGGCTACCTCTTTACTATGTAATCGTTTCACCATTCATCAACTAGTTGCTTGCGCTATTATATTGTCATCAAATATTTGTCCATAATATAGACATGTCACATGGATGAGACCAATAAGCTGAAGGCCCAACAAATTTTAAGAAGAGAGAAAAACTAAATAAAAATCAAACAGGTAGGATCGTATGATCCTCTGATTCAAATCGTAACTTTGACAACCATGTTTGTTACTGACTCTTACTAATGTAAAACGTGCTTCAATTTAATGCCCTACTTGTTGAGGATCTCTTAAAATCAAATCTTGTATATTTTCAGGTGCAATCACTGGAGCTATAACAACTCCTCTTGATGTCATAAAAACTAGATTAATGGTTCAGGTACAGATAATGGATCTTTTTTCTTACTTTTCTTTCTGTCTTAATCTTTTTCATAGAAGGGGAGTAATGCAAATTCTTTCTTCATTTCATCTTTTCAACCTTTGCAGGGGTCAGCAAACCAGTACAAAGGTATATTTGATTGTGTTAGGACTATCATTAGAGAAGAAGGGACTCCTGTTCTTCTAAAGGTATGCTCTTCCACGCTACGCCTTTTATCCCATAAGATGCAATTCAAAGTATAGTAATCATTCTTTGTGTTCTTTTCTCTCATTGCTCTTTTCAATTTACATGATAGCATGGGAAACTATTAAGAAAAATGTCCTAATTTTGTTAAGATAGATAGCATTTCTAACTTACGGACAATGAGGGTCATATTTGAATAGGAATTGACTTAAATTAAAATTATAAAACACTCTTAATCAAAAAATCAAAACTAATAGATACATATACAGAAAGAGATTGACGAACCTTGATTTTTTGCTCCAAATTGATGTGTATAGCCATCTGAAATTCGAAAAAATTGTGGATTCAAAATAGGAACCCTAGTTTCTTCATAGAACGAACAAATACAAGTAATCTTCGATGCCTCCCTCAATGAATTGTCAAACTTTGCTTCAAATTAGAGCAAGGATTAGGGTTCTTTTATGGAGATCTTTGTTTCAAAAACTCATGTCTGACAGCTTCAACAACTTGAATAAGTTAGCTTCAAATCAAATCTCATACATCTACACCATATCAAAATAATTTATGAAAATAACACCTAGAACAACCCACACATCTACACTTTCATACGCACATATATGCATACACGAAAAATAATATCTAAAAAGAAGGCAAAATACCCAAACTCTGCCACACATCTACAACACAAGATCTCATCCACCAACACCATACCAAAGTAAAATAAAACAAGATAATTAAGGACCAAAATCAATAAACTAAAATACGCTCAGAGTGTAGTGAGAGTTATTTCATTACCAACTTACTGTCACACCCCAAAACCATAGGGCGTGATAATAAGGTTAAAACAAAAAAAAAAAATGGAATAGCAGTTTTCAGCTTAAGAAAATTCTGCGCAGCGGTTCCTCAAAAAAACATAGAAAATTCAATTATTACCAAAATGAAACAAACTAAATTTTTTTAGAAACTAGACTCAGATGACAATGTGATCGAGTCACTCCCGGATGCTAGAAAAACACCAAGGAAAACAGTTTTTGGAAGGAAGAAAGCTCTCACAGCTTGTGCTGAAATGGAACCAAGTGCAAAACTTTGGCCTGCTTAGTCTTTTAGAGAGCCAATAAAATTTTGGGGCCTTAACCTTTAGAAACTAGACACTTGAAATAATAAAACTGGAAACTTTCATAATTTATTGATTTCGGGAAGGCCGTCAAATTCTTTTCTCAAATTCAGTTTCCAAACTGTGACCAGAAACCAAATAGCAGATGATATAAGATTTTTTAAAAAATATCCACCAATCAAAAAATTATAAAAATTTTGTGAGAGACTTTATACATAAAGGGAAACATATGGTAAAAATTTCACAGCGTTTGAAGCAATACAACCTCTGATTAAAATTCGTTTACAAGAAAGTACTAGAGGAAATTTAAAACAGATTTTTTTTTTCTTTAAATAAAACCCTCTAACAGAAAATTCAGAGCTTACCCCTACGAACAACTTATATAATACATAGGCATAATAAAGATCTAAAGAGGCTAAGAATATATAGTCACAGCTCTGATGCCCAGTCACTAAGTACATATGCTACCATTAGCAGGCTATACACAAAACATCTAGATACAGTACCCTGTCCTAAAGAACACATAGCAGAGATTATATTGTCATCTTTACTCTAGCACAACAACCACGACCTTAACATTGTTTCATAAGGCATCAAACATGAACAAAATAGTACTTCAGGCTAATATTTTACACAAAAACACCAAGCAGAAGATGCTCCACAAAAGGATCCCATCTATGGGAACTCAAGCTCGGGTCTAGCATTGCCGTCCTGAGCACCAAGACCTGAAAAATAACAAGGGTGAGACAATGCCCAGTAGGAAAGCCTTTAACAAATGCCTCCATGAGGTTTTAACTTTTAGGTACATGATCTGATTAAGCAGAATTATTTTGGCATAAAATTGATCATATACATCAGTCTACCAACATGCTAAGTTCTGATTGGAAAACAATTTAACCATGTAGAGTTCTGAAATAAAATCATAAGCAATACTTGTATGTAACCAAAACTCAGATCATGACCAAGCATATGTATAATATCTTAGCTAAAATCAAGCATTTGACTACAAGAAAATCATGTACTTGTAACAAGAAAAACTATAATTTCATGGAACATTAAATTGGGAAACAGAACTTTAAAAAAATAACTCTCAAGGCTGCAAGAGTTAAAGAGAATCCCTACCCAATTGAAGTTAACAACTGGAGGTGGTAAGATTAGATGGTGTGTGGGTAAAATGCCTACATTTTCAGCCTTAGTCTGAACCCTTCTTCTTCTTCTTCACTTTCTGTTCTTCTTTCTCTGTGTCAAACAACCCACGGCTAGAAGTTTTCTTTTAGGCTTGGCATGCAACAACTATGAGGGAACTAGTTACAAGTGTAGTGCTAAATAATTAAACGTGTCTCCAAGTTTTGCATATGAATGACACCTAGTTCTAGATCCCCTACACGCTGCCACATGCAAACCCACTAAACCACATTCTATTAATATCTCAATACTCCCTCATTTCCAAAAGTAATCACTCAATGGCTCTACCTATTTTATTTATTTCTTTATTTCTTTATTTTTATTATTATTTGTTAACAACTAAATTCATCCCATGAGTAAAATAGAAAAATTAAATGAAACTTATGACTATAAATTAAATACTAGATCAAAAAATTATATACTAGACAATTAAAGAATTATAAATTGCCAACGAACCGTGCACAACCGATGCATTTAAATAAATTCCAAGCAATTAGGGATGTACTAATATTGAAATGCAACACATGAAATAGGTAGAAAGAAATTTAATCAAAAATCATGTAATTCTGGTCCTAAACATAGGGAAGACTTAATTAAATTTAAGGTTGTCACACTTACTCTTTGAACAGACCATTTTCTGCCTTTATTCACATTATCATGAATATAGTTAGATATTCTTCTTGCTAGAATTTTGACAATTTTTTTTTTTTTTATCTTTTGTGATAGGTTAGTAGACAAAATAATTAAGCAAATAGTGATGGATAAAGAATGGATGCACATGACTTACAGGTTATTATTTGTAGTGGAGTGTGCTTATAAAAGTTAATATTGTCTACACTAATTTTAAGTTTAATTAAATGTTAAAGCTTTAATTTTATAGAGTTGATCCAAAGTATTTAGAAAGAACACGGAGGTTTGCTGATCAGGTGTAAGCGAATGCGGGCCATCCAAAAAAGATTTTATGCCCTTGTAATTGTTGTCTAAATGCAAAGCACCAACACTTCGACATGGTGTTTAGGCATTTATTGGAAAATGGAATGGATCAATCATACACGATCTGGTACTTTCACGGGAAAAATCTGAGTGAATCTCCCCAACATGGAAGTGATGTAAATGACGTTGAAATGCTAGAGACGTATCAGATGTATAGAGATATTTTCTTTGATGGTGCTGATGATGTTTCGGATCCAAACTATGAAATAAGAGAGGTTGAGTTTAAAAAGAAGTTAGAATATGCTGAGACCCCTTTATTTCCAGAATGCACAAAGTATACGGTTATGTCTGCAATTGTTGCCTTATACAAGCACAAAGCAACAACTAATTTATCCGACACTGGTTTTGATGGACTTCTTCAAATGTTTGGGGATATGCTTCCAGAAAATAACAAACTTCCTAAGAGCTATTATGAAACGAAAATTTTTTTGAAGACATTTGATTTAGGATATGAGAAAATAGATGCTTGTAAGAATGACTGTTGTCTGTTTAGAAAAGAGAATAAGTACATGACTAAATGCCCAAAATATGGTACTTCATGGTGGAAAGAGAATGAGCGTACTAAGAAGGTTAAAAATGGTGTCCCAGCTAAGGTGTTGCGGTACTTTCCAATAGTACCAAGGTTTAGAAGAATGTTTCGATCCCCTGAAATAGCAAAACAACTAACGTGGCATTCAACTCATAGAAGTGGGGATAGAAAGATGCGACATTCGGTTGACACTCCTGCATGGCATACGATAGATAAAAAAAATGGCCTTCTTTTGCATCAGATTCACGAAATTTAAGACTTGGCCTTTCAACTGATGGGTTTAATCCATTTGGTGACCTTAGTTCGGCATATAGTTGTTGGCCAGTAACATTGGTGGTATATAATCTTTCGCCACTTGAACTCATGTCTAAAGAGAATATGATGTTGACATTACTAATCCCAGGGCCGAGGCAACCGGGGAATGATATAGATGTGTATTTGGAGCCACTTATAGATGATTTGAAAGAGCTATGGGAGAAAGGCGTGGAAATTTATGATGCATTTGGAAAGTCCACATTTAATTTGAAGGTAATCTTGATGTGGACAATTAGTGACTTTCCAGCTTTTAGTAACCTCTCTGGTCATGTTACAAAGGGTAAAAAAGCTTGTCCAACATGTAGTGATGACACATGTTCAAGGCGGTTGAATTGTAGCACCAAGACCGTTTACTTGGGTCACCGTCGATGGCTATCTCCTACTCACCCATTTCGAAAAAAAGAAGAGTTGGTTTGATGGGAGTGAAGAACATAAGTGGAAGCCTAAAATATTGTCTGGGACTGAAATTCTTCATGCTGTGAAAAATATTAAAAATGATTGGGGTAAAAAAGTGAAGGGAAAATTACATATCAAACCAAAAATTGGAAAGAGGAAACAAAAGACAAAAAAAGGACGAAAATGTGGCATGGAAGAAAAAATCCATATTTTTTGAATTACCATACTGGGAGGTAAGTATTTGTAATAGAAAGTCGTTTAGTTTTTTTTTTTTTTTTAAATAAAATATTATTTATTTAAGTTTATAATATGTTTTAAAAAAACTATTATTCCATTATTTATGTTTTAGGTATTACTCGTTCGCCATAACTTAGATGTCATACATATTGAGAAGAATGTTTGTGAGAGTATTATTGGCACCCTATTGAACATAAAAGGAAAATCAAAGGATGGACT